CCTGTCATACACAAATCATGGTTTTACAAGCTGCATGTAAATCAAATCTTTTAAAGGATAATAATCTTTGAGCTTTGAATCATGGGATAGCAACATCTTTGAATCATGGGATAGCCACATGTTTGAATCATGGGATAGCAACATCTTTGAATCATGGGATAGCTACATCTTTGAATCATGGGATATCAACATCTTTGAATCATGGGATAGCTACATCTTTGTACTTCCAATTTTATGTTGACAACACATGCATACATATATATGCATAAAGTATGATGTACATGTGATATATGTTTAAGTAGTATGTTTTAATATGTAGAAAATGTGGACCTAGATTGTGTCCTGATGTCATGCATAAACACGCAAATAAATTTACATTTAGATTTTAGATTTTACTATTGTTTCAATTCATATGTAGTATATAGATGAAATCAAAGTGAGAACAATGTTTACCCAAGTTTTTTGTTACTGCCAATTTCTAATTATCACACTTTGAAAAAGTCCTATATTGTCCTTGATGGGTGTGTCTGAATCTCAGGTGGATCTAAAAATGCCCAAAACTAGCAGAACTTTTATGAAGAACATTTTAATAATAAGATAGCCTTTGCATGTATTGATGTAATATAATTTTATTAATAAAATATCAAAAACTTGGTAGGGTCATCTTTTGACAGTTTTCCTTCCTAATTCAATTTTTCAAATCATTTTATTTGATTTAACATTTGCTTTTTTGCCTCTTTAAAGTCTATTACCAGAGGATTGTATAAGATTCGATCTGAGAGGTGAAGTTGACCAGAAGATGTGTAAACAACTTTCTCATAAATAATATCTTACCAGTAAATATTGATCTTGTCTGTGATTCCTCATGTTGAGCTATCTGCATGTGTTTACATGGTTTATGACTCTTAATATTGTAAATAAATAATATTCATGATATTTCAAGTTAACTTAACATCTAACTGTATAAATTGAGAATTGTTTCAAGTTATTATTCAACATTCAAATGTGATATTCATCTCTACTGACCTGCAATAATAAATTAGAACTACTGAAATGTGGCACATTTGTTGATTTTCAAATCATTTTTGATAATATATTTGTAGAAAAGATTTAAAGCAAAAAAGGATCTAGTTATTTCTAATTTTGAAAAACCAGAATATTTGATTGAAAACGTAGTGTAAGACCATCAATCTAGCAAATATGTCCAAGCTTCTTTTCTACTGGCGAACCGGGTGAAGGCATTTATTTCCCTAAAAAATTATACAATATTCGTCTATTTACAATAATTGTAGAGGGCCTGGGCTGAAAATAGTATTGGTCCTTCCAACTTCATTGATGTAGCAGGATGGGATCAAGTTTATTGGAAAGTCTATTCATGGGTATATTTTCCTTAAAATCAGTTGTATATCACATACAGTATTTGTTGGTCACTTGATCAGTCAATCTATTTGTATGTTTCATGGTATTTTTACAATCAAATCATATGATAGTACCATTCCATTTAAGAATAATTACACCTACACTGTCTGAAATAACATACATTTCACATGTGAAATATAAGCTATTTTGGGAAGTGTAGGTGACATTTTTTAATTTTAAATCGACACACTCGTATACACCAAGATAGATATCTTAAATTACTATGAAAACTCAAACAAAGTATTATATATCAATACAAAAAATCGGCCATTGAACCTTTGTGGCTTCATGTCACTGGACAGGCACTTATCTTGCTCCATGTTACCTCATGGTTCAGGTCATCATTTAATTTTGTTCTCAGATTATTATCCCATCGAACGAAGTTCGGAGGGATATAGGGAACGCCTCCGTCTGTCCGTCCGTCCGTCCGGGCAATAACTCAAATACTGTTGGCCCGATTTTATTCATATTTTGTGCACATATACCCTATGGAAGTAGAAGTTCTGCTCGAAAGCCGATTTTCAAAATGGCCGCTCATTTCAAAATGGCGGCCATTTTAGTGCCGAATTTACAGTAATTTAGGTGCAATATGTAAAACTGTAATAGCAATATGTTTTAGATGTAAAAAATTATATAGGACATTAATAAAGCTAGAAATGTAGATATTAAAGAAGCACATGGCAGCCATCTTGAAAAATGGCGGCCTTTACTCGTTATTTTACGATTTTTGCTGTAACTCGAAAAGTAGTGGAGCGATTTTGTTCATATTTGGTATGTGAATACTATAAACATTGCACACTGTCTAAAGACACTTTTGGTAGAAGGTGGCCATTTTAAAAAATGGCCGCCATTTTGAAAAATGGCCGCCATTTTAACGTATTTTACTATAACTCGAAAAGTAGTGGAGCGATTTTGTTCATATTTGGTATGTGAATGCTAAAAGCATGACACACTATCCTATGACACTTTAAGTAGAAGGTGGCCATTTTGAAAAAAAATTTGAAAAATGGCCGAAATTTTAATGTATTTTATAATAATTCGAAAAGTAGTGAAGCGATTTTGTTCATATTTGGTATGTGAATACTGTAAGCATGGCACACTGTCTAATGACACTTTTGGCAGAAGGCGGCCATTTTTCAAAATGGCCGCCATATTTACGTATTTTACTATAACTCTAAAAATAGTGGAGCGATTTTGTTCATATTTGGTATGTGAATACTATAAGTATGGCAAATGGTCTAATGACACTTTTGGTAGAAGGCGGCCATTTTGAAAAATGCCTGCCATTTTTGCTGTAGACTTTGTTTGTAAAAATGCCATCCATAGCTGTTCGATGGGATTCGCTACGCTTTGGCGTTGCTGTTGTTCTGGCTCAACTGGAAGTCTCCTTTTAGACCAGGCGTTAAGCTGTTCGTGTTTGGTGATTTAAAAAATCATAAAATTTGACATATATTTCCAAGTTTTTGTAATAAAGAAGTCCAGAGTTCTGGTTGCAGAGCATATGGAGGGAAATGTAGATTACTAAATACAATGAAACCTGTATATCTGAAACCCTCTTTGATCCAAATACCTCTCAATGTGAACACTTTCGGTGTTTTGGCGAACACTTTCTTGGTCCCAAATTGTCTCTCATTGACTCACACATTTACAGTATAAAATCTTGAAATGTGACCTTCTCCTCCAAACAGTTTTGGCCAATCCCAGAGGCATTCGGATTAGGCAGGTTTTACTGCACCATAAAACCAAGTTGATGTGTTTTACACAAATAAATGGACGATCGATCAAGTTAGCTTTACATCATAAAAATCATTTCTATTTTAGTCAACGCACCTTGTTAAAAACACATTACTGAGTAATTTGAGATTTCATTATCAATAATCTTAATGCTTTTTTGCCAGAGGAAATGTTGATTTACAACATATTGGTGTTGTAATCTAGATAATGCAAATACAACAAATAAGCGCTATATATTTTAGCAGTCGTAATATGAACCATAAGTATAGTTCTGTTTTGTTTTGTTATTATAGCAATGTGTATCTGACATTTTTTAAGTACTTATGTGGAGACAAGTATACTGCTCATGAAAGTTGACTTCCAATGGATCATTTTGAGATCTTATAATGCTGTATATGGAACTCATTATATTATTGCTGAACATAAATACATTTACTTTTTACCATGTAGAATTAATTGTCATCCAGACATTAGGCACAATTTATGCATAATAGATATACTGTAACTGTCATATATAACTTTTCTTGACATGTTGTATCATCATATGATTCACATAAGTCACAACTACTCACTAAAAGATTAAATAACTAAAACTACTTTTTCTCCATTTAGAGAAGAATATACAATATCTCAAATGAATAAGCATGTTTTAATGTGTCTATGTATATAAAGTTTCATGTGACAAAGTTTACATTAGCAGCATATAACAACATATTACAGCAAAATACAGTGATGAATACTTGGGTGTGGTGTAACTTGTCATAATGATTAATGAAAGAGTCACTAATATCTAACTAATCAGCTAATACCCCAGAGAACAAATTAGAAATACCCTGGGAGTTTGAAACAAGTGAGATTTATTACTCATAATAATATGGAACCCCCTATGCTTTATTCAATATGTAACTCTGTATGTTATATTCAAAATTGAACCTTGTACACTATATTCAATGTGGCACCCTTTAAACTATTCAATATGGAACTCCTACAATATTCAATATGGAACCTCTACAATTTATACAATATTATATTCAATATTGAACCTCCGACACTATATTCAATATTGAATCCCATACACTCAGTTCTCTGTATACATGTGCATAAATGTTCATGAAGCAATTCAAAAATTTAAAAAAATTATGTGGAAAACCCTATACTTGAATTGAATATTTAACTCATTACATTTTATTCAATGTTGAACCTCTGGCACTATATTCAATATTGAATCCCATACGCTATTTTCAATGTGGAACCCCCTACACTATATATTCAATATGGATCCCCCTACATCATAGTTTATGTAAAACTCCCTACATCCCCCATACACTATCGTTAATGTAAGCCCCTATATTATATTCAATAATCTTCCTTAATTAGATGTATATGTAGTTTTATTTAATGTTCTGTTATTGTATTTTATTGCATACGAGTTTTGAGAAATTACAATTAGTATTCTTCAGTTCTTGTCAAGGGCCTATTAATTAATTGGCTCAAGAGCATTAATAGATATTCATGTTCATTTGATAAAATAAATAGGATTTAATCATTTCCAATAAAGGTTGTTATCAGACCTACTAACGTATCTGTTTTAAAGGTGCATTCACTTTAACTTTGATCTCCTACTCATTTAAAACAGAGAGAATATTATTCCAATAAAATCCAAGCAGTAACCAATATATTAGTATAAATCTGATTAATTTGAATGGTTTGTACAAGGTGCCTCTGCCAAACTTACCTGAGAAATCAATAAAGAAATAACTAGAGTTATTATTGTGAAACACTGGTTAAACAAATCTTTTAAAAACACGAGCAAATAGAAATAAATCACACATTGCGATAGATCAATACTGGATAGCACAATATATTATATGAAATTGCACTTTACGCCATGACTCAAGATAAGTCTGGGAAAATAATGTACAACAGACTGATAAATCAACACTTTTATAGATCAAGTTATATTACTGCGTTGTGAAGTGGGAAATGGTATTGGAACTAAAATAAAACAATAGAACACATTTGGAGAGATACCTGACAACACTGATGATCAAAAGGGACGGTTTTGTGGAGTGGCGTTTCGAATTTATAAGAAATCTGGAAATGTGAACCAACGTAGTGCACTAATTAATAAGAATCAAAATTGTCAAGAAAAATAATACCAAGATGTACAAATTGATTGATGTGAGCAATTTATAAGAAATAAGATGTAAAATGAACTATTAAAAAGTTTTGTAATGGAAATATTGTGTTAGGAGAAACTATTATCACAAGACACAATTTATAACTCAGGAATTAGCAAATTGGTGTAAATACTAGTAATTGTTGAATTTTGATTCTGAATGACCAAGTTGACCAGGACGAAATAAAGAGTTTGATGGACAAAAATTAACTAAATGACTTCAACATGGGATGTGGTTCAAGTTCATCATTTGACCTTGCACCCCATGAAGGTCAGGGTCATGGAAGGTCAAAGTTGAAGTTGCCAAAGTTGCTGATAATTGGTGGATTGGAGAATGCTGAACCTACTGGTAGAATTGATATCTACTCATTGAAGGGGTAAGTTAAATGTAAATTTTACCCATGAAGGAGACACACTTAAAGGAGATGCTCCTCAAGGTGACACTCATAAAAATGCTCCTGAAGGAGACACTCCTTAGTGGGATGCTCCTGGAAGAGATACACTTACAGGAGATCCTCCTCAAGGTGACACTCATTTAGCTGATGCTCCTGAAAGAGAAACTCAAAAAGAAGATGCTCCCCAAGGAGACATTCTTAAAAGGGATGGCTTATAAGAAGACATTCCTTAAGTGTATGGTCCTGAAGGAGCCACTAATAAAGGGATGCTCTAATGATGAACTTATGTCTCTCAAGGTGCATTAGTAAGATGGTAAACAATATGATATAAACATATTTTTCAGTGTTAGTCATTAAACAGGATATATCAGGAATAAGTTGCTCAATACATGCATGTTTGCAGAAATTCCATATTCTGCAAATATTAGAGTATAAGATGGAGCATGGGGGTAAGCTCTATAAATTAGAGTCTAAATTAACATTTTTGAAAAAGTTGCTCTTCCTGCCCATCAGAATAATTAAAGGATTAAGACATGGATTCCTGCTTACTTAGCATTGAAAATATTATTTTATTTACATTTTACTACACCACCTCACTTAATTGAAAACACCAAATTAAAAATAGTAAGGGGTGACAAAAAAAAGTTAACATCAGCTTTAATCTACAGATCTAAATACCCTCTGCATTTTTTCGATATTGCTTCTTAAAAGAGAGCTTCGTCTTATTAATTTATAAATAAACTCTGCATGTAAGGAAATCTATCAAGTGATTAGCAGGAAATGATATGTGATCTGAGAATCGAGCAAATGAACATCCTTTTGACATTTCCTTTTGGCTGAGTGTGTTCGTTGTCTTCTCAAGAACATTACAATATAATTCTTGGAAAATTGATTAGTGTGAAGATTAGACAACTTACCTTGTGAAATATAATCTTCACCTGAGATGTTTTTTTGCTATTAAAATGTATTACTTTCAATAAACATGAACTTAAAGAATATATTTTTGATGAATATTGATATCAGAGAATTAGGCAATTTTTCAAAAATAACAAGGCATAACAGCACAGTGTTAAATATCGGAAGCAGACCTGTAGCCAGGGGGAGCGGAGGGAGCGCCCCCCCCCCCTCCTGACCAGAAATTCTTTCAAAATCATGCAGTTTTTCACCATTCTGAGCACTTTTCGCATGCTTTTTTGCCAAAACTGTCAAAAAGCTTCTCCCCCTTGGCAAAAGCTTCCCCCTTGATAAAATCGCTCCCCCTCCCCCGGTAAATCCTGGCTATGTGCCTGGGAAACATCTTTTCAAAAAACACGCTAATGTTTCCATTACAATTTTGTTATCTGAAAAAGAATTGAGATTCCTGATCAAAACATCAAAATTTTAAAAAGGAGGATCATGCCAAAAAATCAAAGCAGAGACTAAAATTATAATTGTAGGACACGTTTTAATTTGAAAAAGTCAAAGAGAGCTTCGTCTTCGTTTATAACTAGACTGCGTGCAGGGTACAATTCAAGATCTTGACACTTGTTTATCAATTGAAATTATTTGTTCAGGTTTGATAACATTATAATATCCTCATAATAATACTTTTTAATACTATTCAATCCACTTTCTCTTAATTGCTATTTCAACAATAAAACCCAGTATCAAATAGCTATTTAAAACCCACTATTAAACAGCTATTTATTGCAATAGAATTCAATAAATAGGCAGCTTCCTAGATACAGGAGAACAAGAGCAGGAAATACCCCAGAATTCATAGATGGACTCTTTACAGGGAGCCTCCCCTAGGGAATTCTGGGAAAATCCCCCTCTAGTTCATCTGTCTCTAAACTTGATGCATTACTTTCATTACGCAATTGCCTTACAACAGAACAATCCATGCATGTCCAAATACGATGTTGAAATGTCATTCTGACATTTTCTTTTCCGCATGCTTTTCTGCAAAAGAGGAAACTGATGTATTTGTTTCATAATTTTTTTAACAAATCAAGTGTGACTTCATGGCTGTACATTTTATTTCAAGTTGGCTCCTTTCCATTCTATTTTACATATGTAAACCTCAAGTTCTTCAATATTATGTCGTCATTCATAGTTGATTGATTGTTTAGTTGATTGTGTGTATGGTTGATTGTATGTGCAGTTGATTGTTACAAGGATGTTTCTTTATCTGGTTAATTGATTTCGTTGTGATATTGTTAGGGCTTTAAAGTGACGTCAGTTTTATTTGAGATGTCCATTAGTATTTTTTTTGATACTCAGTCGATGGAATTATCCACTTTTTATCAAGGTGAAGTTGTAGCAAGTGAAACCTTGTAAATCAAGATGACACTAATACATCGGATATGATTAGCGTTTAATTGGCTTCTTCATTGTAAACTAACTTATCATTAACCTTCTGTAAATTAATACAAATGGTTTGTCATGTAATGCTCAAGTTATGAAGCCACATCAATGTCATGTATCCCATTGTTCCTTCAGGCTAAGGGAAACATACTGAAGGAAAGACGAACATGTATTCCCCTCAATAGAATGGACATGTATTCACCTCAATAGATTGGACATGTGTTCACCCCAATAGAGTGAACATGTATTCACCTCAATAGAATGGACATGTATTCAGCGCAATAGAGTGAACATGTATTCACCTCAATAGATGTATTCCCCTCAATAGAATGGACATGTATTCACCTCAATAGATTGGACATGTGTTCACCCCAATAGAGTGAACATGTATTCACCTCAATAGAATGGACATGTATTCACCTCAATAGAATGGACATGTATTCAGCGCAATAGAGTGAACATGTATTCACCTCAATAGAATGGACATGTATTCACCTCAATAGAATGGACATGTATTCAGCGCAATAGAGTGAACATGTATTCACCTCAATAGATGTATTCAACTCAATAGAATGGACATGTATTCACCTCAATAGAATGAACATGTATTCACCTCAATAGAATGAACATGTATTCACCTCAATAGAATGAAACATTTGGTATATATTACTCCTTAGCGTAACTCCCCATGGGCTGCCTATAAAAATGACAATGCAATTGCAAAGGGGTGGGTAAGCATGCAGAGTAGAATAAAGGGACGATCGATGTAAAAAATGCCATGAATAATATGCAATCAAAAACATGTGACACTGGGAATGGTTTCTAAACTTCTCCATTTTAGAATTGTTCCACATACAGGGTGACACAAAAAATGCCATCCACCTTACGATGCATTACTTGTTTGTCAATAAACATATTGACTTGTCCTTCGACACATTTAAAGTAGACAAAATGCGAAAGCAACTCAAGACATTTCAGATGTGTAGCTCGAGTGGGTCAAATTTTATGAGCGTTACAAGATTTGCTCAGAATATCGCTCATCCCTTTGCAGGCACACTTTGATTCTACACAAGAAATGCCACCTACCTTTTGTAAAATAACTTTGTAAATATAATAAGGATTTTTGCTTGTGCTTTCAGGGAAAAAAGTCACTGATAAAATCACTACTAAATTGATAAATCATATTATTTTTTCCAAAATTATGTTACAAAAGGTGGGTGTCATTTTTGTGTAAAATCCAGGTCTTTCGAATTCCATCCTGTAAAGGAATAGACTACACATTTTGTAAACGCTCATAAATCTGCATTTATTTGAGCTGGTCATCTGAAACTTCTTGTGGAGCTGCACCATGCTAGTTTTAATTTGCCGTAAAACAAGTCAGAATTTTTGCCGACAAAAAAGTTATGCAACATTATGTGGGTGGGTGGCATTTTTTGTGTCACCCGGTAATTGTCCTATTGAAAATTATTTACATTTACGGAAGAGTTCAGAAATAGTTTCCAATATACAATTTCATAAAAACGTTCCACCTTTCAAATTGACGGAGAAAATCAATCGACTCCAAAAGGACAATTCCATTTTGGCGAAATTCGTATGATTGACCCTAAGGCATATTAAGTTTCTTCCGATAGCTGCCAAGAGGTCTAATATGGTATTGATTGCTCTTTGAGAAATAACAATAAATATAAAACATTAATGTCAGCACTTATCTCGAGGAAATTAAGGATGTTCCCTGGTCAGATAGGAAAATATTCAATAGTATTTAACTTTTTCTCAAAAATGGTTTTCTGGGATTCTCACGGGCAACAAAGAATATTAAAACTTTAAAAACCATATGTTAGTGTGCTTTTTTCTGAGCAAGAGACCTCTAAAGTGTCAATATTTGACAAAAGTGGGCGTGGCACTTTCTCATTGAAACCCATGTTAAAAATCAGGTTTTCACCCCAAAACACACTTTTGAATATTTAACTTTTTCTTAAACTCACAGAAACACTTAGTTATGCTATGTACTTCACATTTTGAAAAGAAAAATTAGGGGTTGGTGTTCATCGTTTTCAACTTCGTCCAGGGAACATCCTTAAGTGTTGAAAGAACCACGGGGATCTTCTATAGATAATCTTTAACAAAATATGATAGCTATATTGGGTGCGTATTTAGTTTATATTGATCAAGATTTATGAGAAATGTTCATGGCCAATTCACAATGCTTTTATTCATGCCATAAATCGCAGATACAGCCAAGCATACCATTCTTAAAATTAAAAGGTTACACAATTCATTCATATTTGAAAACCATGAAAACCATGAAAACCATAATTTCAAAGTAAAATTAAAAAATTAAATTACTTAAAGGGTTAGTTTTGCATTTTTTTTGTCTCTATGACATGCTAACTGTTAACTTGACATGTACTTTACCAATTTTATACGCTTTGCATTCGTTCGACTTCACTTCTTAAAAGAGAGCGACGTTTATAACTAGACTATGCGTGCAGGGTACCAATTTTAATAGACAAATGCTCATGATATTGGCATACAACAACTTCCTCAAAACATGTAATTGTCTTTGTTCAAGATATTATAAAATAATGACACGTATTTTTCAAAATCAGAATAAAATATCATCATCCATGAAAAACTTGATTTCATTGTGTCTGAAAGCTTTGAACAACCCTATGAATATTTCCTTTCATTTCCTAAACTTTTTCAGGATGGAATTCGAAAGATCTTTGGAGCTTCCCAAGACTTGCTATAATGACAAAGATGTGGCGTTGGCTGTTACATCAGTTGTACAACACCCTGACAGACCCGTATTGTTCCTAACAGGTAAGGGTCTACAGTAGGCCCATATTTTGTAAAATGGCCATTAAATCGTGACCATATAAAATAGACCAAAGAACTTGGTAGAATGAAAAACATTGAAGAAAGTTTAACTGTGCCAAAAATGTCTTTAAACCCATGCTGATAGCCTTGCCCAAGTCGGTATTTTTACTTTAATCTGATCTTGAATTATTACCCATAATAAAGATCAAAATAAGAAAGAGACCGACTTGAGCAAGGCTACCATGCTGAATGACTGAGTAATTAACCTCTGTTTGGGTTACCTTTTTGGCTCACCCTGTACAAGTAAAAATAATTCGAACTCATACTTTGCAATATCATGCTTTCACCCAGAAGGCTCTTATTTTTCAACTAAACTCAAAATTACTCGAAACATTTCATTCTGCCCAAAATGCAAATTTTGATTTTCAACTGCCAATTTTGTCCAAACTAGTGCCAGTTGTGCCTCTTAAGACAATTCTAGACATACAATGTACAAAACACGGTGAGGCAAAGAAAATAGCTGAGGCAAATAAAGTAAGCCAAATGAAGCTTTGTAAAATTTTGGTAAGCCAGTTGCTTTGCTTACCTCATGCCTGGCAAGACACAAGAATGTATCAATAGATGAACATGCAAAATGTCACCACCTGTCATTTGTTACAGATGCTGACCACTGAACACTGACTGCCAAACACCAACAACCAAATGCCAAAAATTAACTACCAAACACCATCCACAAAAAGTTGGAGACCATAACAAAACCACTTGTGGTGGTGGTGACATAAAATCCAAACCGCATGCAGACTCGCTCCTTGTAACTAATTTACATGGTAATCTTCATGGTGTATCTTTTGCTTCCAGGTAAAATGCCAAAACAGCAGGATTTGATAATGGTCAATAGCTCTCCCTTTTGGATGATAGACCTAACAATGTCTACCCAGAATGCAACAAAACTTGCAGACGTTCCATTAGAAAGTTCAGAATTTTCATGTTACGCAAAAGTTGATGGAAAGGAATACATTTACTGTGTTGGAGATTACCAATTTACACGTTATGACATCATCAATGATTCTTGGTGTACATTATTACCAATTGAATTAGATGGAGTCGTGAAATGTCGAGGATTATATGTTGCAGATGGCTACATTTACGCCATCTTTGAAGATACTATTATGGAGTATAACACGCTCGATGGACTACATGGGCATTGGTCAAGTGTTATAGATAAAGGCTCAAAAAGAGATGGAAAAACTGCAGTTGCGGATCACAAATTTTACACAACTTGCATCAACGAGAAAGCGGTATATGTTTTCAATCCCGACACTCGGCATACTGATCTTTACGCAAAAATCGACCCAAATGATCTCAATCAGAAATTTGGAGTTGTAGGATTCGGAAAAAGTTTGTATTTCACCGGGTGTGGCTCAGAGAAATCAAGAAATTCCATTCTCGAATTTGATCTCAAGGACAAAACTCTCTCCCTAGTGGGGAATATAAAACAAAAAAATGAAAACCATTTAGCGATTATCTGCAAACTTCCTGAATCATAAGACTTGATCTTGGTAGTTTTTCTTATATATAATTATACTTTCTTAAGTATAATTTCAATGCAATATAAGTTGCAATATTTGCAATTAATATGCAATACCTTGCATATTGCCACAATATATCCATTGTCTATAATTGACATTCCATACAAGAGGACTTTGAACATAAAAAATCATGCACTGCAGTGATTTAAAATTCTTTTTTCAGTTCAACTGTCGAAATTTTACAAACATTGCATGGGAAAACTCCTACCCATTTAAAATGTATGCTACAGGAACAGGGAATTCAATTGTTGCCAAACTTTTGGAGGGGAGTGTACACAAGAGTTACTCACTTCGAGAGCCATGTTAGATTTTGAAACTTATGGCTCTCAAACGGAGAAGTGAACAGCTGATCAATAGTGACCTTTGAAATTGAATTAAGTCGATCCGCGGCTTACTTTTGGTCTCTAACTGTGTCTTACATCAGTATCATCAATCCGTGTAAGTATTGGAGCGCTGGAGTACTTCTTTTTCGATCAAGACTTGTAAATTGTTCATCGAGTTAAAGTTTTACAGACCTATTTCCAATATGGCGGTTTGCTAGGTGCGAGATACGCAACGAACGAAATGAATTTTGAGAATTAGTTAGGTTTGGACAACCTCCGGAGATTTACGAAAATGTCCGAGCAGAAACCGCCATATTGGAATTTGGCAGTAAAACGATTCACTCGACTAACAATTACAAGTCTTGATCGAAAAAGAAGTACTCCAGCGCTCCAATACTTACACGGATTGATGATACTGATGTAAGACACAGTTAGAGACCAAAAGTAAGCCGCGGATCGACTTAATTCGATTTCAAAGGTCACGATCATTGAGCTGTCCAAATGCTCCGTGGGAAAGCTATTATATCAAAATCCAAATAGCTTTCGCAGGAAGTAACACAAGAGCACATTTTGAAATTTTAAGACAAACACATGCTCAGTCTAATGCACACCCACAAGAAATAACTAAGTTAGGCCAGTACCCAATCGTTTACAAAAGGGTATATTTCTTGCAAATGTGCACCAGACTGTACAACAACATTGTATGTGTGCTTCAGAAATAACAAATAAACAATATTTATACATATATACTCACTACTGTACATATATTTACAACATATTTGAACATGAAAATTACATCATGAAATTATTTACATTGCACATTTTTGTATATTTTTCGAATTACTAATTCAGATAGATTCCATCGCAAAGTTTGCTTTTATTTAAAATTATATGAATTAATTGGTAACCATAGTGATGAACATTCATTTTTCTAATTTTTCCACTTAATTATAGGAACAACAGCAAGGTACAAAAACATCGAGACATGGATATGTGTGATTAACTGGATAAAACGACAAATAATCATCAACATATTTCATAGTCAAACAATTCCTATAGTTTGGTTCCAATGTCTTAATTTGTGTAGCTGTCATCTTAAAGGCTCCTGATGTGTGGAATACGTCAAAATCTCGGTTGTGTTCTATATTTCAGTTCTTAGTATTTGATTATGTCCATTTGGTGTTCATCTGTTTTTCCAATTCCTAATACACATGTACCATTCCATATAAAAATCTGAAGTAGTGTTAAGGAATATTCTAGAATCATTAAATTAATTAAAAATCATAGATGTGTATAGAAACAACTTCATCATATAAAATGTGAATATCCATAGCTACAAGAGGTAATGATTTCAATCACAAATGCAATTTTTTAATTTTAAATGCATAAACTGTCATATTGAGGTTCAAAAGATATTTAAAATGAGCCTCCCCATAGGAAAACTGGTCTTTTCACAAAAATTACAATTGTGCTACAGAGCCAAAAATGTGCCCAAGATAAGAGAAACATGTGCTCAATTCACATCCGTCTTTTTGGTCTATATCTGCAAGGAAAAACTGTTAAGTCATAAGCCATGGATCATTTGAAGTCTTTTTGTGCTTTTCAAAACAAACAAAATATTGAAAAAATTGTGATAAGACCCCCTTTTCTGTGGCCTGGCTCAAATATTATTTTGTAATACATCATTGTTAAAACAATGGAATGTTTTGGATTTCCAGAAGGCATTTGACATATAAAATTATTCAAAAGTAAGCTAAAATTGAGGCAACTTTTTAAAATCAATTCCCTTGTGTTCCCTGAAAAATTAACAAATCAGTCAATGAGCCTTTACGAGTATTTTAGAAAATTGTTGTTTGTAAAAAAAAAATTTCATAATTTTTCATTCCTCCAACTTCCAATGACAACCTGTTTAAACCCATTACACAACTTGTTTAAACCCATTACTTGACACCTTTTGTGGATAAAAAGTGAGTTAAGATTAATTGAAACAATTAGACTTTTCTAGATTGCCATTTCCTCCATTTTGCTAGGAGCACTTAAGATGCCATCTTCAGCCCTCCGGGGCTCACTTCCCCTACGACTTAACAATTAGAAGAGGATGGCATATTATCAATATAAAGAGTAAGAGAAACTATCCCAGGATACATATAGGTGAATGAACCCATCTTCATGTAATATGAACCTCTAAAGATATAGCTTGACATGAAGATAAGTTCATCTTTGAATATTGGGATATATCATATTCTTCATCAATATGTAATTCTTAAACAACATTTTGTCAACATTCTAATATTATTTTCTCCGTAGTTTATGTAAAATGTATGTCATATCTTGCATCCCTACTTATACCCTTGCATTGGCTGTTTATGATTTCCTTGCAAATTTCACTATTTTCCACTTTATAATATACTTTAAACAAGACCATTGTTAACATTTTATTCTGGGTATTTCTACATCTTCCTTACAATCCATCTTCCCCTTCCTCTCAATTGAGATTCAGTATTGGATTTTTTCTGATTGAACATTGTCCTTTTTCCCATTAGCTCCCATGTTAATTCCCCAAACAATAATTTTACTCTTAATAGCTTCAAAAGCAGGATTCATATGAACTTTTATGAGTAAGTAATGATGAAATAACAATAAGAGAATCATCCATTTGCTAATTTGATATCCACTTTAATCTCAGAATGCTTTAATAAAAAACTCTCTTTTGTATTGAGAAACACCCGCATTAAACACCAGGCATTCTAAATGCAGCTCAAATTGAGGGGTACTAAATTATCATCTGCCTTTCTATAGAAGTATAATATATGCCATAATGACCACCCCTCCCCTAAAGAGGGATAATAGTTCCCTAATAGTGGGATAACAAATGCCAATATAGTGTGATAATAAATTCCCCCTATAGAGGGCTTATACATTCCCCCTTTAGTGAGATAATAAATGCCCCCTAGAGGGATTATAATTCTCTTATAGAGGACTAATACATCCCCCTATAGTGGGATAATAAATGCCCCCTAAAGTGATTATAATTCCCCTAAAGTAAAGAGAGATAATAAATTCCCCCTATAGTGGGATAATACATTCCCCCTATAGTAGGGTAACAAATTCCCCTTATAGCGGGATAACAAATTCCCCTTATAGCGGGATAACAAATTCCCCTATGTAGGAATAATACTTAATATCTTATATTAAGGGAAAATAAAAACCTCCCACATAGAGAAGTAATATATGCCATCCCTACAGTATGGAAGATAACTGAGTGAAATATTGCTAAAAATCTACAAGTAAAACCTCATTGTAGCTAACTATGTTTCAAAACACAAAATGGAATAAAAAAGAATTAGCAAGGAATAAAGTACAAACTTTACAAATTCAAAAATCTGGTAGTTCCTTTAAATTTTAGAGAGAAATAGTGTTACAGTATGCAGCATATAGACCACTGTTTACCATTTGTATTACATTACACAACTTATAAAATCACTGATGATTTGAGCACATACTGTACTAAAACCTATTAAGATACCAGCTTCTTCCTTGGTACCATGCAAAAATTGCTAAATAAAATCTATGCTTTGATATATCTTTAATACACGATATCCAGAATTACTCGAAAATATTTCCACAAATTTTGTTGCCAATTTGCTTCGATTTGCATGACAGTACGTCCTAATTGGAACGTTTGAGATTAATTATACCCAATTCTTAGCAAGTAAATTAATCCCTCGAGGCATGTGGGGAATTTTATAATTTCCAATCTACTTATCTGATCAATAGCACTGATATGACCCCAGGGTTATGTGGCAAATGGGTACGATTGGTTCGGGCATTATAGAAGGGAAGAAGGCCACAGGCTACAATAAAAATACAAGCTGCAATTTTAGTATGGTCATGCTCATGCTGCGTTGATACCTTTGCTTATTACAAGGGTCTATCAAAGCATCTTATTATGACATCCCATATTTCATTACATCATTACTTATTAAATACTCTTATTCAAACGTGTAAAGTGTAAAGTGTAAATTGACATATAGCATGATCAAATCAGGAGGAAATCTTGAAACACACCTAATAATAGTGATGGATAAACAAAGTCATAATTACAGGAAATTGTGATCCAGATAATAACATACAACTAAACCTGTCAAAAATAGTTTGATTCTTCAATAAAAACTGCCAAAATTAATTTAGATGTTAGAATTGGTCTTGTTTCCTTTTTTGTCTATCATGATGAGTTTGAATCTGCAAATTGCGAGAAACACATATACCCAAACTCGATATAAAAATGCTCTGGTCTAATACAGGTACAAAATGCATTGATCAAATTTGCTCTTAGCCATGATTTATTTGGTTTCCTGTTTGAGATCCTCGACTATCCAAGGCATATAAGCTACTTATTAACAAATCTTGCAATTAATTTCCCCAGCTTGTCATACATTGGACAATGCAACATAAACATGTCTTAGTACCTCTTCAGGAGATTTCCGGTTTTTCAAATTAAATGTCCTTTCATCAGTACTTCAATGGTGCTCTCCAGTCAAACCTATTTTCTTGTCCTTTTAGATTTAGTTTACCATTTATCTTTCACGCTGACAACTATTTTCATGATATTAGAGTAGAGATACTGGATTAATCAGATCCATTTTTCAACAAAACAATTCAAATAGACAGAAAATTGGCATTAATGCTAATTTACTAACCTTTGCAATTCCATCTGTTATACATTTTTTATTGATTATTAGAAATAAACTTGGACATTACCAAAAATAGGCAGACAATTAACTTGTAAGGGGTAATGATTTTTGATGAGAAGGAGGCTGTTATCTATTTACGGTAAAAAGTGTAACAATAGTTTTTGACGCTGATTGCCTGGCATAAAAAATAGACGCTATTACAACATATCCCCACTTCATTTGACGTGACATAAACAATGATATCAAATAC